GAAGGCCATACCTGCGTCAGCGGTACTTATCTGGGCGCCATAGCTATGCTCCACACTGGCGACCTGCACAGCAACAACATCAACAACAACAACACATACCTGGGTCAGCGGTACTTAACTGGGCGCCATAGCCGTGCTCCACACTGGCGACGTCCAAAAGAACAACAACAACGAAGAAGAAGAAGAGGAAGAAGAAGRAGARGRGCGGAGGCCATACCTGCGTCAGCGGTACTTAACTGGGCGCCATAGCCGTGCTCCACACTGGCGAACTGCACAACAACGACAACAACAACAACAACAACACGTACCTGCGTCAGCGGTGCATAACTGGGCGCCATAGCCGTGCTCCACACTGGCGACCTGCACAACAACAACAACAACGAAGAAGGAAAAGAAGAAGAAGAAGAAGAAGAGGGGCTGAGGCCATACCTGCGTCAGAGGTACTTAACTGGGCGGCATAGCCGTGCTCCACACAGGCGACCTGCACAACAACACATACCTGCATCAGTGGTACTTAACTGGGCGCCATAGCCGTGCTCCACACTGGCGACCTTCACAACAACAACAACAACAACAACAACATCCACAAGAAGAAGGAGTAGAAGAAGAAGAAGAAGAACAAGAAGAAGAAGAAGAGGAAGAAGAAGAAGAAGAAGAAGAAGAAGAAGAGGGGCGGAGGCCATACCTGCGTTAGCGGTACTTACCTGGGCGCCATAGCCGTGCTCCACTCTGGTACCTGGGCGCCATAGCCGTTCTCCACGCTGTGGACCTGCACAACAACAACAACAACAACAACAGCAACAACAACAACAACAACAACCAGAACCACAACCACAACCACAACCAGAAGAAGAAGGGGAAGGGGAAGGGGAAGGGGAAGGGGAAGGGGAAGAAAAAGGAGGAGGAGGAGGAGGAGAAGCAGAAGAAGAAGAGGGGCGGAGGCCATACCTGAGTCAGCGGTACTTACCTGGGCGCCATGGGCGCCATAGCCGTGCTCCACACTGGTACCTGTGCACCATAGACGTGCTCCACGCTGTCGACCTGCACAACAACAACAACAATAACAACCACAAGAAGAAGAAGAAGAAGAACAAGAAGAAGAACAAGAAGAAGAAGAACAAGAACAACAGCAACAACATAAACAACATAAACA